CTGAATTGAAAACTGTGGAATTCAACAAATAGTTAACTACATAATGTCGTAGGCATACATATTGCACCTAAATGTGACCAACACCCATGATCAGTATGGAAAATGCATTCTTAAAAATGTTGGTTGTGCGAATATTTTCAGTGTGTTATTTTAAGAGTACTTTGTAGCCTTGTGTGATACACTGTGAAAAATTTAACCAAGCTCCCTAGACATGTTAGTAACAAAAGTTGATTACACTCAATTGCAAACTCCTTATGATAGACATCACAAAGTGTACTCATTTGCAAACGTTCACCAAAACCTGCCATTGTTCTGTCAAATAATAAGTAATACGAACAAGTAGAATAACCCGGTCAAATATTTGTTTAAAAGTACCTATTAGAAAATAGGCCCTTTTCGAGTTGTCTTTTGCCTCTGTTTTAAAACAAGTTCTCGTGCAAAACCTTTTATATGAAAATGAGTTTGATTTGCATGAAAATGGACCCATGGGTGAAAGGCATTTTCATAAGAATGGTTTCGCAGGAATACCCGTTTTGACACAGCGGCGAAGGGCAACTAGGAAATGACCTATTCTCGCATCACATAAGTGTAAGTTACTGTGGAAGTGCCATAAAATAATCCTCACCTAACTTTCTATCTACTTGCCGCATAGTGCTTTGCATGCCTCCAGCGTTCCGGAGTTGTTTGCATTGCCCATACATCCGCTAAAGACGAACTCCTGGCATTTTCCAGCGGTGCTGTCAAAATATAAGCGCGGCTGTTCACCCTTTCAAGGCCTCTGTTCTTGGCAGTTGGCAGATATCACTAGTCGCTTGACAAGTCTCCAGAGTTTCGAAGTTGTTTGCATTGCCCTTGCATCCACCATAGAGGAAATCTTTGTATATTCCAGCTTTTCGGTCAAGATAGGAGCGTGGAAACTCTGCTTTGCAAGGACCCGGTTTTTTTCGCCTGTTGTTATTTATGGTGTACATTAAGAACGCGCGAATAAGAACCTAGATTTTTCAAGTTAGCCCCCATAGGTTCTCATATAACTGGTGTTTACTGTGAAATTAGGCTCTCTAGGTTTTTAAGAGTGAATGCCCGTAAAAATCGACCAAAATCGTCTATCAATGGCACAAGTCGACAAATTGATTTCGCTTGTATTTCGCCCATAGATAGGTCCTAGTAAGAATAGAAACGTAGCATAGTTAGTTTCTGCTAATACAGCTTTCTTTGGTA